GATGACTGCCCGCCTGCCCGCCCGCCCTGGCGGAGCGCGGAGCCTCACGCTTGCTTTCTCTCCCCTCCCCACAGGTGAGGCCGGCCTCTCTGCAGCCCGAGGCCTGAGCTCTGCCATGGGGGTAGGGGTGTCATTACTCCTGCAGTTTTCTCTGACGTCTGGGGGCCACCGGAGTGTGGGCCGAAGCCGGCGCTACAGCCGCAGGAGCCTCCCCAGCAGGAGCTGGAAAAAACCTCATCTCCAGCTCCACAGCCTCCAGGGTAGAGTCCGGCCTTCTTCACTGGGTTCCCAATCCATTCCACAGCCCCCGGGCGCAGGCCCCCCCGTCCCTGGAAGGAAGGGTGCCTGTGGGGGAAGGATCCCATTCTCAGATCCTGGAGCCTGCCCTGCTCTCAGTCTGGCCGCTGGGAATGAGTCATGTCTGTGATCCTCAGAGGAGTGCAGACTCTAGGGAGTTTAGGAGGATGTGTCTGGAGCTTTTGAACGGGGAAGTGAGGGTCCCTGAGGAGTCTAACCCCCATCCACCCTTTAGTGGGCTTAGGAGGCTGTCCTGCAGGAATCTGGGCTCCCTGGCAATTTGGAGTTACTGAAAATGGGGCAGCCCTTGCCGGGATTGGGGCAGGACCAGACATAATCTCTTCTTTCCTCCCCTGCTCTTGCCCCAATAATCCCTTCCATCCGAGGGAGGCCGCGCCAGGGCCCTAGGCCCCCGGGGGAGCAGGTTGTGAGTGTTCCTTCCCGCAATGTCCTAATCATGCCTGTGTGGGTGGAGGGGGGCAGGTGGGCAGAACGTGGGCACCGTCTGGACAGGCGGTGGCCTGGCCTCTTGCTGAGAGTAGCATCCAGCTCCCCTCCTGTTCCCAGCAGGGCTGTTCCCACCCCCTCTCCTGGCTTCTACCCTGAGAGACGGAGTTAGGGAGGCGGAAAAAGCCTTCCTCTGCTGTGATTAACATCAGGGAGAAGATAATAGGAATGAAAGGCTACAGCAGTTTCTATGAGAGCATTGCAAACCCAGGTTTTCAGAGGGAAGAACACTGGCCTGGGAGTTTAGACCTAATCCTGGTTCTGTTGTTGGTTGACTGTGTCCTCGCAGGCCAGTCTTATCACCTTTTATGCCTCATGGTTGCTACATCTATCAAACAGAGAGCTTCATGTTTGCTCATCCAGCCTCACAGAGTTGCTGTGAAGCTGTTGTGGCAACAGGAAGTAGTAGGGACAGGAGAGGGCAGCAGGGCCGCACTTGGAAAAAGCACGAAGCACCGCAGAGAGAGGCGATACGCTTTCCGGAGAGGCAGAAATGCTTGTGCAGCCAATATGGAGTGTTTACTCCATGCCAGGCACATGGCGGCCAGGAGGGGGATTCCAAGAAGTGTCAGGGTCAATAAGACTCATGACAAATATACTTGAAATGTGTCTGGAAGCCCAAGGTTGAACTAATATAGAAGAGCAGCCTAGATTCAAGGGCTGTAGGGACCCAGCGGGGAGAGCTCCCTCGGGCTGGGGTGGCCGGGGAGGCATGGGGGCAGGGCGAGTGGCCCTCTGGTGTGACTGTGCTTTTCCACCCACAGCAGAGGAAGAACCGATGCTGGAACGACGCTGCAGGGCCCCCCTGGCCATGGGCTCGGCCCAGCCCCAGCTCCTTTCTGGGCCCTCCCAGGAGTCGTCCCAGACCCTGGAGAAGGAGCCCCACCGGCTGAGGTTACGAGGTACCTCGGTGGCCCAGCCAGGCAGCCAAGCTCCAGGTCGGGTCCATCGCTGTACCCACTGTCGCCGGCACTTTTCCGGCTGGGTGGCCCTGTGGCTTCATGCCCGACACTGCCAGGCCCGGCTGCCCCTGGCCTGCCCGGAATGCGGCCATCGCTGCCGACACGCCCCCTTCTTGGCACTGCACTGCCAGGTCCACGCGGCTGCCACTCCAGACCTGGGCTTCTCCTGCCACCTCTGCAAGCAGAGCTGCTGAGGCTGGGTGGCCCTGGTCTGCATCTGCGGGTCCACTCGGCTGCCAAGCGGCCCCTCGCCTGCCCTGAGTGTGAGAGACGCTTCTGGCGACGAAAGCAGCTTCGAGTGCATCTGCGGAGGTGCCATCTCCCTACGCCTGAGGCCCGGCCATTCACATGTGGCAGTTGCGGCAGGAGCTTTGCCCAATGGGACCAGCTAGTTGCTCACAAACGGGTTCATGTAGCCGAGGCCCTGGAGGAGGCAGCAGCCAAGGCTCTTGGGCCTCGGCCCAGGGGCCGCCCGGCAGTGACTGCCCCCCGGCCCGTGGAGATGCCGTTGACCGTCCCTTTCCGTGTGCCTGCTGTGGCAAGCGCTTCAGGCACAAACCCAACCTCCGTTGACCGTCCCTTTCAGTGTGCCTGCTGTGGCAAGCGCTTCCGGCACAAACCCAACCTGATTGCCCACCGCCGCGTGCATACTGGCGAGCGGCCCCACCAGTGCCCGGAGTGCGGGAAGCGCTTCACCAACAAGCCCTACCTGACCTCACACCGGCGCATCCACACTGGCGAGAAGCCCTACCCGTGCACCGAGTGCGGGCGCCGCTTCCGCCACAAGCCCAACCTTCTGTCCCACAGCAAGATCCACAGGCGGTCCGAGGGGTCCACCCAGAGCGCCGCCAGCGCAGGGAGCCCCCAGCTTCCAGCCGGTCCCCTGCAATCCTCAGCACAGCCCACCGCCCAGGCTCCACCGAGACCTGCCCAGGAGCCTACCCCCGAGCCTCTGCTGGAGGCCCCCGGAGAGGGGCCCCCGGGACCAGGCAGAAGCCCCCCCATCTCTCTACAGCTGCGAGGACTGTGGCAGGAGCTTCCGGCTGGAGCGCTTCCTGCGGGCCCACCAGCGGCAGCACACGGGGGAGCGGCCCTTCATCTGCACCGAGTGCGGGAAGAACTTCGGCAAGAAGACCCACTTGGTGGCCCACTCTCGGGTCCACTCCGGGGAGCGGCCCTTCGCCTGCGAGGAGTGCGGGCGTCGCTTCTCCCAGGGGAGCCACCTGGCAGCCCACCGGCGTGACCACGCGCCCGAGCGGCCCTTCGTCTGCCCAGACTGTGGCAAGGCCTTCCGCCACAAGCCCTACCTGGCGGCCCACCGGCGCATCCACACCGGCGAGAAGCCCTACGTCTGCCCCGACTGCGGTAAAGCCTTCAGCCAGAAGTCCAACCTGGTGTCCCACCGGCGCATCCACACTGGCGAGCGCCCCTACGCCTGCCCCGACTGCGATAGGAGCTTCAGCCAGAAGTCCAATCTCATCACCCACCGCAAGAGCCACATCCGGGACGGCGCCTTCTGCTGTGCCATCTGTGGTCAGACCTTTGACGATGAGGGGAAGCTCCTGGCCCATCAGAAGAAGCATGATATCTGAGGGCAGGGGCATCGTTCGGGAGGAAGCGAGGCAGTGGGGCGGCGGGGCCTGTGCTGCTGTTGTGTAGCGAGGGCTGGAGGGGCAGGCCCTGTTAGAGAGGGAGGTCAGCCTCCACACCTTAGGCCAGGGAACCCACTGCAGAGCACAGGGACCCGGCCTCCAGCTGGGGTTGGCTGAGGTTCCCTCCTCACTGTCCTGTGCCCTGGAAAAGTAGCAATAGCACCTGTACCCACCCCTTAGAGTCCGTCCTCCGCTGGAGGGGCTGCCGGTGGACAGGATGACCCTTCTCTGGTGTTAACGCCTTAATGTCCCTGCCTTTTATTTTGAGCTCCTTCAGCTTGTTTTTGGAAGTAGGTGTGGTACAGTCCGTAGTAAAGAGCGGGGGCCTGTGCTGCTGTTGTGTAGCGAGGGCTGGAGGGGCAGGCCCTGTTAGAGAGGGAGGTCAGCCTCCACACCTTAGGCCAGGGAACCCACTGCAGAGCACAGGGACCCGGCCTCCAGCTGGGGTTGGCTGAGGTTCCCTCCTCACTGTCCTGTGCCCTGGAAAAGTAGCAATAGCACCTGTACCCACCCCTTAGAGTCCGTCCTCCGCTGGAGGGGCTGCCGGTGGACAGGATGACCCTTCTCTGGTGTTAACGCCTTAATGTCCCTGCCTTTTATTTTGAGCTCCTTCAGCTTGTTTTTGGAAGTAGGTGTGGTACAGTCCGTAGTAAAGAGCGCTTGGGAAGCAAAGCGGACCAGCTGGATACAGCTGGGGGAACCTGCTGGCCTTGTTAGGCAGCCCTGGGAGGTGAAGCCAAGCTGCTCAGACCTATCCCACCCCAGTCCCCCCACCTGCCCCTGCATTGGCACCCAGTCTTGGAGAGACCCATCTACTGTTAGTCTTGGCTTCCCCTTCCTTCCTAGAGGTCAGTGCTGGTTTCTGCACAGGTCACCCCATTTGATTTTAAAAAACATATATATATTTTTATTGATTTCAAAGAGGATTGGAGAGGGAGAGAGAGAAGCATCAGTGATAAGAGAGAATCATTGATTGGCTGCTTCCTGCACACCCCCTTCTGGGGATCGAGCCTGCAACCTGGGCATGTGCCCTGACCTGGAACCTAACCATGACCTCCTGGTTCATAGGTCAACACTCAATCACTGAGCCACACCAGCCAGGCCCATCTGACTCTTTTTTTTTATTATTATTTTATTTTTATTGATTTCAGAGAAGAAGGAGGAGGGAGAGAGAGAGAAACATCCATGATGAGAGAGAGTCATGGATCAGCTGCTTCCTGCATGCCCCCTACTGGGGATCGAGCCCGCAACCCGGGCATGTGCCCCGAACCGGGAATCAACCCGGGACCCTTCAGTCCGCAGGCCGACGCTCTACCCTTTGAGCCACACCGGCAGGGGGGCCCATCTGACTCTTTATCCACCAGCCTCCCCATGCTTAGAGCACCCCCTGGCTGTCAGCAGTCCTGTGTCCAGGGTTTTGTCTAAACACCCCAATCATCTTTCACACCTTCCAGAATCCCACATGTCGTAGTAGGATTGCCTGGCTGATATCGGAGGGCGATAGGGGTGAGTTCCCTTTTCCACATTTCTAGTGTCTGGATGCGTAGCCTCTGCTTGAACACTTAGGTAACAGGGAGTCCCCACCTGCTGAGGCCCTGGTTCTATTGTAGGGTAATTCTAATTGTTAGAAGTTATTCCTTATAATGAATGAAATCTGCTTTCCTATAATTTCTACCTGTTGGGCCTTGTTCTGTTCTCTGGAACTAAACAGAACTACCACCCTCCTTTTCAAATTAGAGAATAAAGATTTGGTTTTAGAACTGGTGGCTGAGACGTGGTCCTTTCTCCCTGGAGCTGTGGTGTTGGGAGGAGGAGGGGAATGCTGTGTGGGGAGGAGGACTTGGTAGCAGGCCAAGTGCCCCGATTTGAGCCCCTCTGTCCCTGCCTCCAGTTCTTCCCCAGAGAAGGCCAGGCGCACCCAGCAAGAGGGGCAAGTTCTCTAGGGGTTCCGCCGTCTGTGGGTCAGGTCCGACTTGTTGGGTGCCAGTTACTGGGGAAAAGTTCTGATTTGATTTTGTCCTGCAATGCCTCCCTGGCTGGCCTGCTGGAGTTCCCCACATCTGTTACTCTGGATGCTTCCCGGTACTGTTGTTTCAGACAAATAAGATGGCCTATTTTTGACAGGAATCAATAGGCCCTTTTCTTGCCAGTCTTCGTAATTTCTGCACGTTACTGGCACCTGGCATAGTCTGGTGCATAATAATAGCCACAAATTGTTCAGGTGAGTGGCACCCGGCAAAGAAGTGTTCCTAAATTATCTTGTGCGGTAGGTACTCTTCTTTTACACATGAATGCAGTTGCTTAAGGTCATGTAACTGGTGATTGCCAGGAAGGTTTGCAGGAAGTCTCAGCGCCCCGTTCCTGTTGGTAGCAACCTCCATCCCAAAGGCGGTTTCTAAGCAGCTCCCGAGAGCACCTGCCCGTGGGAGCGGACGTGGCTGGCTCCCGGTGAGGAATTTTGACACCAAGGAGCGCTTCCAGTCCGGGGGGGAGGAGAGGAAAGTCTTCCTGAAGGTTTCCGGGAACAGAAGACCCACCCTGGCCACCCGGACCCGCCTCTAAAGCAGCGGGGACACTCGATCCCAGATGGCTGTTTCCTCCACCCGCAGCCGGGGGTTGGGTTGAATGAGACCCCGGGACCGCTGGTCACGCCCACGGCGTGCAGGGCCGCGCGGGTGCGGAGGGCGATTTCTCTCCCGTCACACGAGACACGCACATCGCACGCACGCCTGGTGCGCTGTGGTGCCCGCACCACCACCACGGCACACGCACACTCGAGTGTGAGCGTCCGAGCGGGTTCCCG